AGGTAATCTTCCGACGGGGTACCGTTATGAAGGTGTCCCACTCTTTCGGGGATGTAAACATTGTGTCGAAAACGTTCTGAGATTGGATTAATGAAAACTATAAACTTGAAAAGAATGTTTGAATGCTTCAGGTGTTCTACCACACACAAACCGTACATACAACCAATATGAAAGGATCAAAGAAGTCCTTGTTTTGTGTGTCAGTGTGGCTTGAATATCGGTTACGTTGTAATAGTTTTGATTTTGGGGAATAAAAAATGGTGCTGGTTGCTAGATCGGATGAATATGGAGGGTGGTTAAGAACTAGCACACATTTTTTTTCTAGGAAATGCACGACAACTCCAGTCGAGTGCACGGGGACATCGTTGATTATAGCAAGCAGAAATTCATCTTCTTCCATAGTTCCGGGCGAACCTGCAGAATCCTTGTGCACAACCGATCCACTATAATATGGTATTGCATTCCCTGTTTCATCCCATTTAAGATTCCCAGTTGTGATTATATGCCAAGAAGGAAATCGGGATTTTTCGGACAAATGGTGTGTATAACCTTAAGATGACCATTGTACTCGATGTGCAGATTATTAGAATTAAAAGTGAGCATGCCTTCTGGCAAACCGGAGGTTGTAAAGGCCAAAGAATGTATCATGAATATTGAAAGTAATGATTAATTGTTGACATGTCTTTTAAAACATTGTATCATTAAAAGTTTATTAGAAATTCTCTGCAACAATATTGTGAGCATGTTTCGTGAATAATATTCAGTTTGAAGAAAGATTACTTGATGGCTCTCACCTCGAACTGTATTTAAAGGCACTGATACATGTGAAGAAGAAAGTTCAACTCGGTGTATTATTAGATTCAAAGGCCCTTTAAAGTAATGTTATAGCTGATACATGCGCTGGGTTAAGGGCAAGGTCGATGTCGCCATTAATCATCTCGTTCTGACCACTTCACACTTTTTTTTTAAATTCTTCCAGAATGGAATGATTGATTGCTGTGTAATATGCATGCATAAAACGTTTCAAAGAACAAGCGAAGCTGTTCTCATCTCATTGTAATATTTAGTGTTCTTTGTTAAAACAAATTTATTTCAAGAAATATGCATGAAGAGTTCTGTTTCGAGAAGGGCCTTTTGTGCAATTATACTTAATAAAAAAATGCTCGCTGGTGTTGCCTACTAATTTCTACAATGTAATGCCCAAAAATTTCCAGTAACAGTCACCTAATTAGATCTACTTGAAAAACTTTCTTAATACAAAGTATACCTTTTCCACTTGATGTAACTGTAGTTATGATCATAAAAACTATATGCCATAAAAATGTTTAAAAATAACAACTTTTTGACTGAGTTCACAAGATGCGATAACATCAAGTCATCGCAAAGGATATAACACTTTTAGAAATGTATTTTCAACTGCTGTTTTGCTTATAGCATCTGTAGTTGTGGGAAGTTCCTCGGACATTGTTCTTGGGAACTCGTTAAATGTCTGATACATTTTGTGGTGTCGCAGTCAGGCCTAGCTACATTGCAGCCGTTCAAAGTATCGATTAGAGATGTATTCTAATCGATATGTTATAGATTGAAGTTGGGTTTGAACTCTTTAAAGATGTGGTACTTTCTGCTTTGTCCGCGCTAGGCTTGTATGTAATAAACTTATCTTTTCTTCTAGTCTGTAAACATTCACGGAACTTTTTACATAAGTATTCGTACAAGATATAGTACGAGATAAGTTCGTTATATTTCGTACGAGAAATGGTGGAAAATGTGGAATAATGCGCAGAAAGTATGCGGTGGGAGCTGATTGTACGGATGATAAAAAGTAATAATCTGAGGAATGACGCTAAAATGTAATTCTTCAGAGTACCGATTATAAGTTGTCTGTTGAATATTGGTTGATAAAGTCCAGAATTAATTATTAATTAAAACTATTAATTAATTACTATTATTATTAATTAATAACATGTTTCCAATGCCATGTATTACGTATACTTTGATATAAAACCGTTTCCCAAAATGATCGATATCACCCTCCTTGGTGCTGAAATAATGTAGGAGAAAGTTATTTGTCCGAGGGTTAGAAAGGAGACTTGAGAAGTAAATTTATTTCCCTGGAAAATATGGCTGCTCAAACGGCTTTGAAGCAAATGTACCAAATTTTATCAATAGACACTTTGACGCGGGTTTGTCGTATTTGCTGGTAGCTTCATTTTCCTATTTAAGTGATTAAAGATTTCATTTCCTATTTAAGTGATCTTATCAGACAAATGTGAAACTGTGGTCACAAACCCATACTGGCAACGATATCTAATAGGCCCAATTAGCACGTTATTTGATACAGTGATCTCTCACTGCATGTGAGCCCAAAGAGATATTACAGCGGCCCACGGATAGATTTCAAATTAGATTAAATAAGGTGCTTATAATGTGAGATGTAAAGAGCTTATGCGCGTGATTACTTTTGAATAGGTTGGGACTTTGTCTTATATATGTCACTATATATGTTTGTACGCCAGGCTATGTGATTGGGTAAAGGTGTGAGAATTTCCCACGTCGGTACACTCAGGATATTTAGTTGACCAGCCGACAGTTGGTGATGCTTCAGTACTCTGGTGGTTTACGTTTATTTTTCTGTGGAACTGGAACTTCTGATGTATGCTTTTCTTGAGTCCTTCACTGATCATTTGACTGGTTGCACACCAGCACAGTTCATATTGGTATAAAGATACGAGGTAAACTAACCACGGCGTATAAATCCTGTTTATTTGTGCTTTTTATTAGATCTGCCTTAGATCTATACCCATGCTTAGAATTGTGCATAACTTTTGTTGCGTTTAAACGTTTTAAACGAATTGAAAATGTAACCCAACAGAAATTTCTTGCAGGTACCAACCTTTAGATTTCAGATAGACAATAACCATAATTTGAATTTTTCCTTTTGCGTTCTTATAACTAATATTGTTTATGTGTTAAATATGTAATAAAATAAAAAATTATAATAATGTAATTTAAACAATATATCCAAGATTTCCTGACGGCCGTATTATGCGCCGTGATAAATGCTTGTTATACCACAGCTCCATAAAGTTATTACAACTGTTCATCATTCTGTAGTTATTTAAATTTGGTGGATACAATTCGCCTTATATATCGTAGTTATTTCAGTAGACAAAAGAACGAAATATGAAGGTCCGCCTTAAAAGCATTTTACAGACAATACTCACTTTGAAAACAAGAATACAAGTTCAGCAGTTGCAACAAGAAACATTGAGGAATGTATCTTTTTGCGGGAAAATGCGCGTGATGTCCTATGAATGAGAAGTTCCACCAATGACCGAGCGGTTAAAAAGCTACTGAGTACTGGTAGTTCATGCCGGGTTCGAACCCAAGCTAAGGGGCAAGTTACATGGCTGATTTTTTCCCCCGTGTTTAACTTGAATACACACCATTTTTCCTTAGACAGATAGCCGTTGTGTGCTTTCCTATATTCAGATAACTTATAAATAGAAAAGATTCGAATAATTTTTCTGTGTTTAATTTCATATTCGTGATTTGCCATGATTTACTTTATAGTGCGCCCCTCCCCCCCCATTAAGAAGAGAAAGTGGTATACGTAAAATCACCGCAAAATTTGATAGAGCTGTTTTTACAATCTAAGTTTGCTCATTTTGTCTAATTTAACATGTATTGACATGTTTTTCTTCCACTTGGATTCTTCATTTGTTGTGGTAAGCATCGCTGTTTCTTACAGAAATGTTTAAATGAGTGTTCCTGACCTCCATCTTGCTACTGTTATGGTTCTTTAAGCTTTATAGTTTGACTAAGATGCAGATGGGCGACATGCATAAAGTGACCGAACGGGTTTCCCCAATCATTCGCGAAGCTCCCTTCATTTTTTTCTTTTCATTCCAATCCAGTTGGTGCGTACATTGGGGCGGAGGCGAGGGCCAACGACCCGTTTACATGCTCCTCACTTAAACATGCTTTGAATCTTCTCAAGCAAATTGCCTTTGCTGTTTGCGTGTTGTTTACTGTTTACATTCTTGCGCTTCGAATGATATAGCGTTATGCGTAGCTCATCGAAACGGGCAAGTGTACTTAGTTAGGTGAAATTAAAGCAAATGTGATACTGAAGTTTGAAACTAATTTTGTTGGATTAAATTCAAAACAAGTCGCTTTTTTTTTTCTTAACTCCTCAAAAAACCTATTGACGATGCGTAATATCTTTCATTTATTTCTTCAGCGGTGGAAGGAAACTTTCGGGAAAATTCAGTAGAGAGTTCTGTACTACATTAATAACAAAGATCATACTTAAAGTGATGTTGAATGGCTTCTTCTGTTGATGAATTCTTTAAATATATATATTTCTATATATATTTTTTTTTTTTGTAATAAGTGTGTTGGTATGAATATATCGTTTTCATTACTGGTGTTAGGCACTCCAACTCTTATCAATGATTATGTGAACTAAATATTTATATCCTTCCAAATTAAATGCCCTTGCGTATTTTTCCATAAAAGTTATCGGGCATAACGCCAAATATGCTTCAGTTATTTTAGCAGAAGCTTGGGCAAGAACATATTCCTCGGGATCCTGAAACTAAAAATATTCCCGCGTACTTTCTGTGGAAAGCAGATCCGAAATTTCAATTTATCGTCCCATTCCCAAATGGGGAGGAGAAAACAGAGAAATAGCAGTAAACGTTATTCTTTTTACAAAAACTGGCTTATCAAAGATTCGTTTTGTTTTTTAAGTAATCCCGATTAAGTTCTTAGAACGTGTTGTGATGTCGCGCTTATCCATCATCGGCGCTAAATTCCACTCTATGGCGACAGATTTATTTTCGTCGTAAGGGTCGATGGGAAACTGCGATTCTTTTTTGCGCAGATATACTCATTTTGTTTATTTTTATGAAGTTTTAATGGAACATTCTGTGTAAATTATATGTATGTATTATGCAGAATGAATACGTTTTAACGGTTCTCTTCTTTCTGTCTAGGTGACTGTTATTATTCGCCAGCATAGTCCTTGTGCCTTGGAGAAGATGTATGAAGCTCAGACAGACTCTTTACCAAGTGTTTTTGTAGATGGCTCGAAGACGAGCGGGCCAGGTGTCAAGATCGTAGTTGTCGCTGCAAGTAAACATGTTGAACTACATTTGAGATACATTGCAACTAAAATTATTATCCGACAAGTTGGACACTATTTGACATTCGCCGCTGAGATGCCGAGTACTGTGGCTGTGCAAGGTGCTCAAGGCGAGACTCATGAACTTTGCGTGAGAGGTTGCCCAAAGAGGGAACGCATCGAATTTGAAGGGTTTCTTGACGTCAAGAGTGGACCAAAACGAGAAGCTCTTGCCATGTGCCGCGCCCTAAACCTTACGGGCTTTTATCTGAATGCCTGTGTGTTTGATATCCTGACCACTGGAGACAGCAGTTTCAGTACAGCAGCACGAGATGCCATGTTCGATGGTGGTCAGATGCTAAGAAATGGCAGTTTGCCTATCATACCCAGAAGTGTGGAAAGTGAAGCAGCTATTGCCAACTCATATCTACTACTGCAGATAATGACTGTTCTAATTGTGCTTGTTGTGTTTCAAGTCAAAAGGTAGCCCTGAAGAAGACGCATGTGTAGCTATAAATTTACTCATGTAAATCAATGATGTTCTTCGCAGACATGTAGAAGATATGCACTTTTACATAGCAGATTTTATGAATCAATAATTCCCTTGACAGGTATCGATCACAGAGTATGTTCTGTGGTCTTTCCTGTGTAGAAACTCAGGGGCTAATCACCATTTGGTGTTAGTTATTTGTAGGTTATCCAGTATTGACTGCATATAACTTATAAATATCAGTGATATACCTAATTGTGTATTATACAATGACAGAGCTCTACTCAGGTTTATGTTAGGTTGTCATTTGTGAGGATTTGTGTACGAGAAGTGTTACATCAGTATTTCTAGTATGTTCTGGTAAGTAGATAAAGTGTGATGCACTGCCTTGAAAGCCCTTGTTCTGTTGATATTGTTTCAAAATACTAATGACTTTTTGTGATATATTCTTGTGGCATAGTGTTGCATACATTTCTTTTTCTCTTTGCTCTTCTCATTAATGTTTTATTTAAGTAAATCTTAATACAGTGTCATAATCCATGTACCAATCTCATATTGAGATAGGAAATTTGTATACTTACGTGTTATCCCGTCGATTCAAATGTGGCGATAAGATTTTGGGACCATTTTGTCAGTCATATCAAATAATCTTAGCTAGGATTATTTGATATGTATAATATATCTACTTATATGGAGAGGCTATTAAAAAAAAAAAAAAAAAAAAAAAAAACATTGTATCAGGTAAGCATGGGTATAACAAAAGGAAACAAAAGGAGCACATATGAAAAACACAACGTTGCTTAACTGCAGGCTTATGATGAACATGATTGCCAGAGTTTGGCATATTCTAAAGATTTGGTGGCTTCTGCTAATGTGGTTGCATTAATGTGTAAATACCCTAAATTTTTAGAATTGCTGGAAAACTGTATCACTACAGTAACTGGCCCAAAATCACCATTCGACAAGCTAATGCGTAAGTAGAAAAAAATCCATGTATAAATTAAGTTTTCTGATTGGCAACAGCTACCATTCAGATTTGCAGTAGGAGCTTGTGGTACTTTGTGATGCTGCTTGCCGTCCAGAGGATAAAATATACCCCGAGGAGGGATACTTCTCCTATGTAAATAAAATTTGTTGTAAATTATATTCTATATGTAACGTATTGGCCAATAAATATGCCCTGTATGTTTATATTTATGGAATGCTGCATTCTCTTCTTCTAATTCTTAAAAGCTTTCGGGAAAGTCGGGGGAAGAAAGAAGATTGTTTTTAAGAAGTATATCAAAAGTAGCTATGAAGAAAATTTACCCTCTCCTAGAACTTACTACAAATTTTAAATAATTATATTAAGCATACATGTTTTGTAAAATTATTTTTTAGAAATAATATCAGAATTTTTAACTGGCATTTTAACATTATAATTTTTCTGCAAAATTGCAATTTGAGTTTAGGATAGTTTTAAAGTTTGTCAGATTATAAGCGACCAGTTGCACAATCTCAAAGCCATATTATTTGTGAAGAGTCACTGATTTATATCTAGGTATGTTGTTCCAAAATTTTGGTATACAAGGAAAGTACTGCACTTTAAAATACAGTGCTATCTCGACTTATGAACTTGAATTTCATGTCTTTGTATATGGAAACCCAATTTTTCATTGTAACTTATGACAAATAAATCCGTTCCTACATTTAGAAATTCAGGGGGAAGAAGATAAAGTGTACACTGATATAGAAATTATTAATCTTATCTATAAAATTACAATGCTTTATATGCAAAGAATTATGAATTTTTTTTCAAGTCAATTTACACTATGCGCTGGAGAAAGTTTCTACAATTTCCCCAATAAAAGCAGGCAAATAGCTCATGTAAATTCAGGTTTTGTCGTTTTCAGAATTGAATATGAGTTAACAAACAATATTATTAAACTATAATTATTTTTAGGTCTCTAAATATAATCATGAATGAATTGAAAATTAGTTAACAAAGGATATTATGAAACTATAATTATTTTTAGGTATCTAAATATAATCATGAATGAGCTGAAAATGGTGACAATAAAGAAAATTATTAAACTGTAATTAGTATTCAGGTCTCTAAGTATAATCATGAATGAGTGGTCTTTTTCACATTAATTGTTACATATATGTTTATATTTTCAAGAAGTGAATGAGATGTCTACAAAATATTTTTAAAATATGTATCACAGTATTAAAAGAGTGTGTACTATAATGTTAAGAATATTGTAGCGGTTCATATTTCTTGAATAATTTCGAATGTAAAAGCCAACATCGGACGTTAAAAAAAGTTTGTATCTCGAAATGTTCGCATGTGATGCTTCGAGATATTGCTGTATATTAGCCATAATAAAGTGTTCTTTATTACTTCATCAGATTTTTACCTGATACAATGCATTCGCAATGCAATTGTTTTAAAAGAAATTGTGTCTATTTAAAAGCTGCAAAATCATGCATGTGTATCCATCTCAAGAGCTAATCAAATCCTCGCATTACAAAGTAGTTCGAATATCAGAATCTGTGGCTCAGGAGCTCTTTTGCAACAGGGGTATGATATTCCGCTGCCACATAACAGGCCTCCCAAGGTCATTATGATCTTCAAGGTCTTGCGAAATTCACGTTGGTGATAATAGATGGCGACATGCGTAAGCACCTATGTACCAAGCGAGCATACCACCGTATAATCGCAACACGTATATATATAAATTTGCAAAATTAGCATAGAATTTTATTAAAAATTAACTATCTCTGAATCTCCAAACATTGGATTATAGTGGGATCTACGGAAAACAAGGTCTTCCACCGCTTTTGTGGCACCACCATAAATAGTACGAAGAAACGGATCCTAGTTTTCTTGGCACTCTTTTTTGATGACATCATGATCGCTGTCTCCCAACCAATAGGATAAGTTCATGAGAGTGCTCCAAGGTCACTGTTTAGTCCATTGATAGTTAGTACAGTCCACTTAATGTTATTGATGTTGCCGAAAGTTTGAAATTCCCCAAATATTCTGTAGTTTGTATAATGTGAAGAAGAGAAATGCTGCATTGCATATCCCCAGCCTGGATAATTTATTCTAGTCATGTGCTGCCTAATCCTAGTGGATGTTCTGAAGTAAGCTTTCTAGATGTCCTCATTTTAATATCATCTGTTTTTTGAAAGAATTTTCTGTTCTCTTTAATAAGATTATTCATAATTGAGAAGTCTTGATTGATGTTATTTTTTAAGGAAAATTTAATGTTTTAATCTGTGTACAAGGTACAAACTGCGCTGTTATAATTTTCATATCTGTAAGTAGTGTATTAAAAAGGAATAATTATTTTATTAAGCTAACCACGAGTAAATTAATTAATTTTACTCTTCAGAATCAGAATATTTCCAGTATTTTTATTGAGTTTTCTGCACTTTCACACTTTGTGTTTTAAATATATTGAGATTCTTCGAATTTATCCTTTATAAGACTATTCTACAGTTTAAAAAGAGTACATAACTTCATCCTGTAATCATATTTTCTTATTATACTGAATATGTCTATTAATATTTTTTGCTGTTTAAAAATTCATATTTGTAGTTCAGCTGAAAAATAAATCATATACCGGGTGATTCAGAAGTCTTCAATCTCAAATATTTATTTCATGTGTATTAAGATGTACAACCAGTTAAAACCTTCTTCAATGAAGTTCCAGCATATGTATAATCAGAAAATATTTACAAAAATATCTGTTGGAATTGTGAACCAATTTTTTGTAGGGGGCAAATTCATTGTCCTGCCGGCTTATTTGTTTTAATAAGGAACTTTGAATATCTTTGATGGTTGTTACTCCTTAGAACTCAATATAAAAGCATAAACTCCCAATCACATATGCTTCCACTACGAGTGACTGGACGTCGAAAGTGACAATTCTCAGAACCCGCACATTTCCACGAAACCTACGTAGCTAGGTTTCGTAGCTATCACTTTCTACAAAGACTTAACGTCAAACTGTAATCAATTATCACTTTCGTCTGATTATTTGATCTCTAGGTGGTACTTCGCTTCCAGAGCAGCTGTTTTTCCTAGGAATCTTCCCGTTTAAACCAGTGCTACCAGAATCTCGTTTCTCAGAAAAGTCCCGTGCAGCAGGGACTGCCGCTAGATGCGATAACCTCTTAAGAGAATTACAAAATGAAATTAATCAAAGAGTATAAAATTTAAAATATCTAATTAAATATTAATATAATTTAGGATCTTATTATGAATAATTGAGTAAGCTGAATCATCCGTAAGTGAATTTAGGTTAATTTGGTGTTCTTTTGAAAAGACATCTCAGCACAGTTCGAAACCTCTCAGTTTTTCATATTTCAAGGTTGGCAGCTACATAGAAATACTTTTTTATAGCTAATAATGCTTCCAAATAAACTGTGAAAACTTCTGAACCTCCTTACACTTGATAAAATGTATTATACAGATTAAGTATTAAATTTTGTAATTACTGCAAACATATAAAAAGTGTCATGAAACACAAGCATAAAACCAAATTATTGTAAAATAATCATTTTATTAGTTCTAAACTTGTTTTATTTTAGATGTTAAAAAATTAAATTTATTGATATTTCTTATGTTACAGTATTTTAGCAAGTTGTATTATTTGTATGTGCCGTGCTTTCCAAAGTGAAAATACCCAGATTCCACTGTTTTTCGTATTTGTGTTCTTAATTACGGCCGAATAGTAGGCATATGTGACAGATGCAGCTATCTGTAATCTATGTAAAGTTTTGTGCCATGATTTTTTTGTGAAGACCAGATGGTCTATGTAGATTTTTTGCATAATAAAATTGATTTTTTTAGTGTTTTTGAATTTACAGTTTATGTAGTTTTTTAATCACAAACAATAACAGAATGGTCTAAAAAGTAATTACATATGTTTATTTGATACTGAAGAAGCAGGTAGAGCTAAATATTTTTCAATTCATTTTTTAATTTAATCTTTTAACTATTTTAAATTTATTTCAGTTAAATAGTTACCTTAAATTACTTCAAAAAATCTGATGTTACATCACATGACTTCCTTGTATGGAATGTTAAATTATACGCAATTTTCCCGCATTTCATTTAAACATATTGAATTAACAGTTAACAAATTTTGAATTAAATCTACTTCGTTGATAGCGCATAAACCACAATAGAATAAATTCACTCTTTAAAGTTCCCTATATTTATTTACCATAGCGACACTTCGGCGCTAGGTTCGCTTAACAGCGTTACATCTCATTCATTTTATAACTCAGAGTGCATAAAAACTGTATCATAACTACAGTTAAAACAATTTAAAAAATTTTACAGTTTCTAAGCAAAAACAAGCTAATAACTTAAATGATAATTCCTGAATGAATTAAGCATAATTTAATTCTCAATAATAAAAGAAGACGTTACTTTGTTGTTGCAAAGCTTATTTTTCTCTAGATTCGCAACAAATCCACTATTCCACTAAGTTTCAAATGTAAACAAACATGTATCAAAAATTAGGCTTAGCCACACTTAAAAAACTTTTAAATTGTTCATAATTCCACAATTCTTGCATGCAGGTTAACTAAAGGCATATAAATCTTGACTCTAGTGTAGAACTGGGTGCCCCTTCAATTAGCAACAATTTTTTTTTTTTTTAATTTTGGCGATGAAACCTCACTTCTGGTTACCATGATAGCTTTAACTTTGTTTTAGCGTCCTGATTTTATTTAAATGAAAATAGATTGATGTGTACATGGAAAAATTTAACGCAGTGTGCAATGCCTAGTTTGTGCAATTCTAGGATTTTTTTTAAGTGAAAACAGATCGATGTGTACATGGACAAAGAGTTTGTGCAATTCTTATTTTGGTTTTGTGTAGCAGCTGAAACTGTGCCTTCTTGGCGTCAAAAGAATCGCCAAAAAACAAGGGGCAGCCAATTGTAAACTTTTACCTAAATCTTAACCAGAACAACGCAATATAATCATTTTTAAAGCAAAAAATGCACAATTTACAAATTTGTAGACACATTAGGATTTTTTGGAAGCAGGAAAGATGAAAAATGAGCAACGCCTTCCCTGGGAATCGAACCACGGATCTCTGGAATACGCGCCCAAAGTGCAGACCACCACACCAAGAAGGCGGGATAAATACCTCATAAACTGAGCCAAGTAAAGAATAGATATATATATTTGGTGCCTCCGATTGCAACCAAAAAGGGAGATCCACATCTACATGTTATAGCAGTGCTACATACAAAATTTCAATGTTCTGAGGCTACTCGTTTTTGCGAAATACATGCTTACGGACGCCACGAATAAATCTCTTCAGAATTCATTTTAAATCAGTTTTATAATTTTTTAGGGGAAAAAAGAGTCCTTTATTGTGACCTTACTTACATACAATGTCACGCAAAAACATCGTTAAATTGCATTCGCTGCGGTCAAAATGCATATTTTTGTTGAAATATGATACCCGAAATGTTTCACGATTACTATACTTCTTTTTTAATTCCTACAGGGAAGTAAAAAAAAAGAGATGCTCAGATATTGTTACGAATCTGCATTATGGTTTTTTATAATAAAGTTCTCTTTTTAAAATATTCCAATCATCATTTTCATAAAACAACGAAACCTACTGCGTACGTTCTAAAAGTAGTTGTGTATTTCGCATGCACTAGTATCACAAATACATAATAACATCGACTTGCCTGTACCCTAAGCATTATTCTTAAGTGTACATTGGTATCGTAACCGAGGGAGGGTTTTCCAGAATCGACCAACTGACTGCCAATAACATAATTTGTTGTCGTGTGACCGTTACCGCGTTTTTAAAGCAAGATGGCTGAAAATATTTTGTTGCGTAATTTCCTCAAATAAATAGATAAAGCATCTTTGATTTATTGTAAAAATTTTCAGTGCAAAATTAGATAAAATATAAATTATTGTTAAGAAAGAATAGGAAGAAAATGATTTAATGGCATACTAAAATACCGAAACAGAAATTAATAGTAATGTTACGAATTTTGTCTTTAGATAGCTAATGTTAGTAGAATTATAATTAAAATTTCCCCGTGCAATGCAGCGTTTGATAAATTTTAAAAGAAAAGCACAGGAGCACGTGCATTTAACATCGAATTAGAGTTTGTCTCGGTAATTTATATTTAATTTGAATAAATCTAATTGACTACTATGTTGTCTGTAACCGTAATTCCTGTAAAATAATATAATACGTAGAACCAAAAAGATTTCATGTTATCCCTTCTCTCAAGAAACATTAATTCAATTTAAATCACACACAAATTCACCAAGTAAATGAACATTCGAATCAGGTTTCAAACTTCCAAGTTTATTCAAGTCTAACAGACATTCAACTGGCAGTGCCAGATCCAAGAACAAGAAATATACATCATGAAAGATTTACGCCCTCTATTGGCGATTAAAATATATTTCCAGGTAAATTTCTTACAATTCCTCTTGTTCTTCAAAAATCTCGAAAAGCAAAGAAATTACTAGAAATTTCTCGCGACCGATTAAAATGCCAGAGCAAGAGCATCTCAGCTCAGTTGCTTAGTTATTGTTACTGAGATTTATTTCAGCTCAGTGTGAACTGAATTAGCTTTCTTTTTGAACTGCGTTCTATTTTAACGTTTTTAGTTGTACGGCAGGTTGGTTCTGTATATTCGTAAATAAGCTAAACCTATTCAATTAATCACATTTATTTATTTGAATTACATAGAGAAAGAACCAACGACTTCATATAACAGGTAGACGGCTCACCCAAAGAGAATTCGTCTGCTAGGGTGTCTCCAACATATACCACGTGACTAATACTCTTGGCGCTCTTTGGGAGTGATAGCTTAAGCTGTTCATCGCCAGTTTGGCCCGCTTTTGATATGGCAGGTAGTACTTTTTATTTCCGTCTGCTAGCAGTCAGCAGACAACGGCCTCGAATTAGGTTGTTCGATTTTTTACAATTATATTAGATATAACTTAACCCCTTTTTTCCTGAATATTTTATCTATATTTTTAATAATTGCTTTAAATTACTTGCACCATTGTTTAAGATGTTTAGATTAAATAATTTTAGGAAGGAAATCTAAATAAATAATAAAAATTGAGATGGAAACTTTAATTTGAATAACGTTAAAAAAATTAATTGCACTACTGTTATAATATTTGAGAAGGTAAAAAAAATTCGTTTAATTTTAATGCATTGCATCCTAAAGAGAAAAAGAAAATCACATTGTATTATATGCATTTATGCCATTGATTGCCTTTCTTTCTTGAGATTATATTACTGGAACAAAATAATGCACTCTCTTTCTTGAGATTATATTACTGGAACAAAAAATAATGCAATCTTAATTACTGATTTCCACACTCTTGTGTATGTCATGGGGGGATCAATACATCTTATTAACTATAAAAATTATTTTATTGAATATGTATCAAACGGTAACAAACTTCAACTCAGTATTATTATAGGATCAAAACGATATTACAGTTAAAAATTTCTCACTCTCCTTTTTTTTTAAATTATATTAAAATATGATAAGTTTTTCACATCGCATTTTTTCAATTACAATAAATTTAACAGCATCGTAGATGAGACAGAATTATAATCCAGATTATTTTATTTAATTGATTTATAGAAAATAATGATAAAGCATTGAGCTTTATAAAGTAATCTGATTTTTAAAATAATGATGTTTAACTGTTATGTTCAATGTGCATGAATCAAGATCTTTAGCTTTTTTTTTTTTTTTTTTTTTTTAACACAACATATCGCACAAATCTTTTCTCAATAATTTAATGCTATAATAGCGTTTTTCTTTTTTTATCGCAGGCAGTAATTGTTTATGAAATCAAAACGCGTACGACTTGGCGAAAAAAGGTTAACGCCAATTGGCGCAGCTTTCTATTTCAACGGAATACACGGAAAAAAACATATAAAATTCAATTATTTGTAAAGGATGAATCCAGTAGTAATAGTGTCACAGTATTTAATACATTTTGATGCTAATAATACATGCTGAAAATGTCATATACAGCGGCAATTTTCTTGTACAATATGGCTGAAAATTTCCAACCAATTCAACAGAGATAGTTAAAACGACAGAAATACTGAAAATAAAATAATAAATCATGCAGTTTTTAACTTACCTATGAAAGGTTACAGGTCCTCCTTTCACGAAACTTCTTTACATCCATGCAGCATAACCATTTTTACTTAAATTTTATGTGACCAAGCAGAGCAGCCGTCTTTCGTCCCAAAAAGCATTAAATATTCCGGATTTCAATTCGCGCGAAGGACTAAGTGGAACCTAAGTGCAATCGTTTACAGTAATATCTCGTTAAAGAACAGAGCGTGCTACCAAAACATATCACGCCGCGTTTCTGCCGCTAGCACAGGCACGAGGAACTAACAGTTACTATTTAATTTAAAAGTTCGTTGCATGGTTGCTGCATACTCCCCTCCCAGTGTCAACGATATCTTACAGGGAAATGAACATGACGCCCAGAACGTGTAGTCTTGAGTTGCACCTTTGTTGCAGGCTGTGCTGAAGTTGTGATATCAGATGGACAATCATTTGATGGAGTATTTGGGTTAATTGGCAAATTATGTACCACAGTGCCCTGCAAACGGTGAGGTGAAGTTGGAGGTGGAGCGATTGGTTTATGCCCGTTCAGAACATAAGCTGGTTTTACACGATCAATGGATACAGGTACAGTTTTGCCATTTATGTCTAGGTAAAAGACCTTCTCTGTTCTACGAACAACTAAAAACGGTCCATCATAAGGAGGTTGAAGTGGGCGTCTCACCATATCATGACGAAGAAAAACATGGGTA